TAAACTGTACTCTACTTTCCTGAAACTGATCTGTCTCTGGCATGTATTGCCTGTATGTCTCCCCAGGTATCTTCTAGAGAAGGGGTCTCCAAACTTTAGCCCTCCATGTGTTGAGGAATTTTAAGTCCCATGAGGGACTCTGACAGCCACAGGCAAGACTACCAGAGGAAAAGGCATGATGGGACTTGTAGTTCTCCCATATGGAAGAAAAATATATTTGCAATATATTTTTAAAAATATTCTACCAAAATATACTGACACATATATGAAATACTACAATTTTGGCCATATTCAATATATTTCAAAACATATTTCATTATATATATATATATATATATATATATATATATATATATATATATATACTGTATGTTGAAATGCATTTTTATTACAAAATATATGAAAAATATTTTTAAAAATACATTTCAAATATACTGTACATCTTTAAAAATACATATCTACATTTTTGGAATGCATTTACAAATATATGTAAAAATATATTTTTTAAAATGACTTTTTTTATATAATTAAAAAAAATTTAAAATATATATTTAAAAAAAATTTTTTTACATTTATTTTTAGAATTAATTTTAACAAATATTTTTCATATATTTTTTAATAAAATCGCAATAAACGCATTTCAACATACAGTGTATATGTGTGTGTATATATATATATTGAACTATATTTTGAAATATATTGAATATGGCCAAAATTGTAGTATTTCAAATATATGTCAATATATTCGGGAAGAATATTTTAAAAATATATTTTTTTTTCCATGTGGGCTTCAACAGCTAGAGGGCCATAGTTTGGAGATCCCTGTTCTAGAGCACCCAAACTGCCTCAAAGCCCAGGACTATGAAAATATGAAAGTATACCTGAAGGCATTTTTTTTTTTCAAATTTGGGATAGAATATGTTTTTTTTTCCCATCTGTGTCCAATTGAGATTTCCCTTCAATCCCCATTCTACAGCCAAAACAGGAAGTGAAGGGAAATCCCTGCAAAGTGCGGGAAATTTCTGGTAATCACCAGAATGAGTAATCCTAATGGAAGATTTCCCCTTCAGCCAACCACTCAGAACTTGGAACTTTCTTTTTTGCTCAGTGACAATGGTTTCCAGGACAAAAAAAGAGGGTGAATCTCCCTAATGGGAACACAGACAGCAGTAAAACACTGACAAGTGTTCAAATTTCTATTACTTCTATCTAAAAGTAAAAGGTTTTTACATTAATTTTGACAAACAAGTTGGTGTTTGGTATTGCCCCCTCTGGCCTTCCATGTCTCACTGCCAGTCCATCATTGGTTAACATGGAGGAATGGAATGTAGGAGAGGTGGTGGTGTGGCAATACAATGGTTCAAGTTAAATAAACTTTATCGGTCACTGATACTGTACAGGCACAGAAGAAGGGCGTAAGAAGAAGAGAGGGGTCTTATCCACACAAGCATGGCTCAGACCTCTTGTTCTGTGTAGCTTGAGTATATCTTGATGATATCCTAGTTTTTCTAACCTTTCAGAAATCCCCTAAAAATTGCTAGTAGTATTTCGATATCCACAAGACTGAGTTTTTGCTTTGCTGGCATTTCAGCAAAAATCAGGTAATTTTCCAAAAATGTCACAATTTCTGTGAATTGGAGTCAATAGGGAAGGTTAAATTTAGATTTAAATTTAGTTTTTCATGGTGCAGTGGGCTTTAAATGGCCCTGAGGATTACAAAAAAATGTACTTTTTTCACTTTTTGTTTCATAGAACGACTTTTTTTTTTTTCACTTTTTTTTTTTACATCAAACATGATAAACATGACATGAAAAACATAAGTCATGTAAGTGACATTGCTTTGTTTATAAACAAAGCCACTGATCACCATTTCAGTCCTGACATTTCAGGCTAATTTCGACCAAAATTTTGGTAAATGATAAAATTGATCATTTTGCTGCAAAATCAAAACTCAGCAACATCAGTCTGCTCATTCTATTATTTTTTAAATCTTTAACTTTAAAAAGATTTAATGAATGGTGTGAAGAATAAAAAAGACAAGGCATCGTACTCATCTTTGAAAGTCCCAAAGCACATAGGCCAGTAATCATCATTCTGTCCAATATTTTGGATAGGTTTACAACTGTGCAGCCAAGCGAGCATACAGCTTGCCTCGGTTGTCGACTTTTTTAAGTGACTCATTTTTCTCCACTCACCAAAAATCAACCATCGTGTCATTGTGATATTTAATGGCAGGTCTGCTAGATAGGGGAGCAGAATCATTCCAAAGGTGCAGAAGTGCATTGTACATGCCTTGTATTTTTTATTCTTCACACCATCCATTAAATCTTTTTAAAGTTAAAGATTTAAAAAAATAATAGAAAGCCCTCAATGCACAAGGATATAGTAAAACTTCTCCCTTATCTTCCTGCACGTCTCATATTGTTTGTGTTCCCAGAAGAAGCTGGTAGAGATTCTGGTAAGCTTCCCTGCAGGTATAAAAAAGCTGCTCACCTTTCCTGTAACTAAACAGACAAGTTGTGCAGGTTTTTGTTACCAGGTATAAGAATTATATATAGTATAAATAAACACATTCCATTAAAGCACAAAACAACAAATAGAGGAGCGCTCCCAACCCTGTGGAAGTCAATAGAGTCACTAGCCAGGAACAATTAAAAATCAAAATTCACTTAAATGTTGGGTTAAAAAGCATGACATGTTGGAGTGCCCAGACTGATATATCATCAGGCCAGTGGAGAGGAGAAAATACATATTCATAGGGGCTGGAGGATCCCGCATGGAAGAAAAATATATTTGAAATATATTTTAAAAATATTCTTCCCAAATATATTGACATATACTTGAAATGCTACAATTTTGGCCATATTCAATATATTTCAAATATATTTCAATATATATATATATATATATAAAGATATATGTATATATAGAGAGAGAGATATAAAAAATATATATATATACACAAATATATGTATGTTGAAATGTGTCTTTATTACAAATTATATGAAAAATATTTTAATAATATATTAAAAAAAAAATATTTTTAAAATATCTATTTTTTTAATATATTCTTTAAGATTTGTTTTTTAACATATAAAAAAGTCATTTTTTTAACATATATTTTTTATATATTTTGTATATATATATATATATATATATATTTGTGTGTGTGTGTGTATATATATGTATATATATTATGTATATACTGTATGATGAAATGCGTTTTTATTACAAAATATACTTTAAAAATATTCTTCCCAAATTTATTAACATATACTTGAAATGCTACAATGTTGGCCATATTCAATATATATATGTATATATATATATATATATATATATATATATATATATAGTATGTTGAAATGAGTTTTTTTGTGTACAACATATATGAAAAATTTAAAAATATATATTTAAAAAAACATTTTTGAAAAATATATATATTTTTAAATATATTCTTCAGATATTGTTTCAAAATATAAAAAGGTCATTTTAACATATGTTATTTGCATATATTTATAAATGCATTCCAAAAATGTAGATTTGTATTTTTAAAGATATACAGTATATTTGAAATGTATTTTTCAACATATTTTTCATATATTTTGTAATATTTAAAAACATACAGTATATATGTATGTATATATGTGTGTATATATATATATATATTTTTTTTTTTTTGTGTGTATATATATATATATACTGTATGATGAAATGCATTTTTATTACAAAATATATTTTAAAAATATTCTTCCCAAATTTGTTAACATATACTTGAAATGCTACAATTTTGGCCATATTCAATATATATATTTATATATATTTTGTATATATATATATATATATATATATATATATATATATAGTATGTTGAAATGAGTTTTTTTTGTTACAACATATATGAAAAATATTTAAACAAATATATTTTAAAAAAACATTTTTGAAAAACATATATTTTTTAAATATATTCTTCAGATATTGTTTCAAAATATAAAAAGGTCATTTTAACATATATTTTTACATATATTTATAAATGCATTCCAAAAATGTAGATTTGTATTTTTAAAAAGATATACAGTATATTTGAAATGTATTTTTAAACATATTTTTCATATATTTTGTAATAAAAACATACAGTATATATGTATGTATATATGTGTATATATATATATATATATATATATATATATATATATATATATATATATATAATGTGTGTGTATATATTTATTGAAATATATTGAATGTGGCCAAAGTTGTAGCATTTCAAATATATGTCAATATATTTGGGAGGAATATTTTAAAACTATATTAAAATATATGTTTTTTCCATATATGATGACACATGATCCTGGACCCAACAGTAGGTTGCTCTGCCCAGGAGCCTCAGGACAGTGGGAAGGGTGTGTGGACGGCAGCCGCTGGATTACTGAGATGGCACGTCCACCGGAAGTCACATGTCCCAGATCCGGTTGTTATGTTATACACCTGGCGAGAGACCGCCCCGAACAAGGGCTGGTGAGGGCAAATTGGAAGCCTAGGGGGGCACTCAAACCATGTCAAACCAAAGAGGAGAAGCTGGTCATCATGATAACATGTTTCAAGGACTTGCCCCTTCCTCAGGTCATGTTTTAAATTTAGGTAAACTTCAGGCATTAAAGGTAAACTTCAGGCAGATATAAAAGGCACAAATTAATGCAGCTCTGTATGTATTTATACATTATTAAATAATTATTTGTAATGATTAAAAAATATATAAAAATTATTACATTTAAATTGTGATTATTAAAAGAGGTGCAAGCTGGCTAAGTACTGGACTTTTCCTTGGTAGCGGTCTCTTGCAGTCCCTACAGAGGAGCTCAGAATGAAAGGGAAGGGGGAGCCAATCTGGTATGCTGCAGTGCTAGTAGCATGCAGATAGGAGGAGAGCTCAGCGTGAAAGTGAAAAGTTTCTATTTTACAAACCCGTTTCCTTTTTATGGTTTTTGCTCTTATTGTAGGGCAGCTGTGGAAGATGACCCTTACTGCCGCATGAAGCAAGTTTTGAAGTGGTATTTGTCTGGATTTTATAAGAAGCCAAAGGTAAAATAAAGGGAACAGTTCTATTTATTCATTAGTCGCAATCCTTCATGTCATTGGCATCTTATTTCAAGAAAGAAAGAAAAATTAAATTATGAGCACAGAACAGATTTATATCCTTTGTCGTTAATAAAGAATATATTTAAATGTTTTTTTTTTTTTTGCATCCAGAGTTCAGCTTTAACCACTTCCAGTCCGGACACTTTCACCCCCTTCCAGTCCGGACACTTTCACCCCCTTCCAGTCCGGACACTTTCACCCCCTTCCAGTTCGGACACTTTCACCCCCTTCCAGTCCAGACACTTTCACCCCCTTCCAGTCCGGACACTTTCACCCCCTTCCAGTCCGGACACTTTCACCCCCTTCCAGTCCAGGACACTTTCACCCCCTTCCAGTCCGGACACTTTCACCCCCTTCCAGTCCGGACACTTTCACCCCCTTCCAGTCTGGACACTTTCACCCCCTTCCTGTCCGGACACTTTCACCCCCTTCCAGTCCAGACACTTTCACCCCCCTTCCAGTCCGGACACTTTCCCCCCCTTCCAGTCCGGACACTTTTACCCCTTCCAGTCCGGACACTTTTACCCCCTTCCAGTCCGACACTTTCACCCCCTTCCAGTCTGGACACTTTCACCCCCTTCCTGCCCAGGCCACTATTCAGCTTTCAGCACGATCACACTTTGAATGACAATTGCGCGGTCATGTAACACTGTACACATATGAATTTTTTATCATTTTTTTGAGACAGATAAAACTTTATTTTGGTGGTATTTATTCACCACTGGGATTTTTATTTTTTTTTGCTATATAAATGAGAAAGTCCAAAAATTTTGAAAAAAAGTATTTTTTTATAACATTTTGCAAATAAATAATCTTTCTTCATAAATCTTGGCCACAATTTATTCAGTTATCTTGTTGGTAAATAAAAAAATAACCCAAATTAGTTTATAACCAAAAATTATAATTTTTCTATGGATCCATTTGGTGGTCTTTAAATCCCTAACCATTAATGTGTTCCTTATACATGGTGGGTTGTGGGACATTGTCTGCGGGGACAGTATAACTATGATCTTTTAAACTGCAAGATGTTTTTTCATGACTTATTGTCATAATCAGACTGTCATCTACCTTCTCACCTTAAGGCGCACCCTGAAAACCCATCTCTTCAGGGAAGCCTACCCCGCCCTCACCTAACTGCCGATCTCCTCCACTCCTCCTACCACTCCATCCCCCACAGCCACTTCCTCCTGTACCACTATCCCCTCCATCCTAGATTGTAAGCTCCAAGGATCAGGTCCCTCAAACCCCTCGTGTATTGTATTGTTACTGTACCGTCTCATGTATTGTCTCCCACTATAATGTACAGCGCTGAGCAAACTTTTTGGTGCTATATAAATACTGTATAATAATAATAATATTAATAATAATCAAGTACAAATTATTTTACTAATATGTGTTTGAAATTTCTGTGCCTTTAAAGTCCATTTGCAACCTTTCCCTCGTTTCTTTCCCTTCAATTTTTGACTATTATAATTAGGACGTGGCACCAAAATATTACCTATTCTTTTTGGAATTGATCTGGTACTCGGATACACTCCATTCTTTTCTTCTATTCAGAGCTAATACAGGGATGTGGACTCTCTCCCCACTGCTAGGGGGCAGCACTGGGCCAATATCCAAGCACCAGTGTTGTCCTATGGGAGGACGAGGAGTGAGTCGAATGTTCCTCCATATCCAAAACTACCTGGTATTTTTTTTTTCCTCTGGAGATTGAATGTAGTAGCAGAACAGCAAAGGTAAGTATGTGCTGCTGGGGAGGGACAATAAAGTGAACCTGTTGCAGATTTGCTTATAGAATATGCAAACCCGGACCTCCAGTGTTACATGTACCCATCTAAAGATTGTAAACTAAAACTGACCATTATGACTTCTGGCGTTTCTGTGTTACAGGGAATAAAGAAGCCTTACAACTCAATTTTGGGTGAGAAGTTCCGATGTTGCTGGTTTCACCCACAGACCAACAGTCATACTTTTTACATAGCAGAACAGGTAAATACATCCAATGAGTATGTTAAAGAAGAACTCAAAGTAAGGAAAAATTATGTGAATTCAAAATGTAATTTTCTTGCAGGTAAGTCATCATCCTCCAGTTTCGGCCTTCCACGTCAGTAATCGGAAAGATGGCTTCTGCATCACTGGGAGTATTCTGGCCAGATCCAAATTTTACGGTACTGATCAGCATCAACCTGAGTACACAACTGCCTTTTGATATTTCTAGATTTAAAGTGTTTGTTATGCCAAAAACATTTCTATTTTTGATTAGAGTTGAGAAAGATTAGAACCCCTTCTGAGTTTGCTGCTATCTAGAACTCCTTACTTACTGTTATCTAGGGCCACCTGGACTTCCTTTTTTTTTTTCAAATTCTTTATTTAACAAAAAGACAGTTTCCATGACAGAAAAAAACAACAGATGGTAATATATACACCATTATGCAAAATACAATAGTATGCTTCAAGTGAGTGAAATCGTGATACAAAAAAGAAAAGAACATAATCCGTGTGGACCAAGCATGCTATCTATGAAGTGGCAGCCAGTGGAGAGTTGGTAACGACTCCCTTTCCGTAGACCAAGGAAGGTGTAGATCAAGTCATGGAAGGAAAAAAAAAAAAGCCCAAATTTTATATAAGCTAGAGGAAGGGGTGAGTAGGGGGAGAAGAGAAGACATAGAAAGCAAAGGAAGGAGAAGGGGGCAAAAAAAAAAGAGAATAAAAAGGGGGTGGGAGGGATAATAATAATAATAATAATGGTGATAAATAAATACATTTATGTTGGTGTGTCCCAGTGGGGAGCACCAGCAAGAGCTCTCAATCAGTAGACTGTACATCAAAGAGGGCTTTCCCCTCTTCAGAGTAGACAAACATGTTCCACAATGTCCAGGTCTTAGAATACCTCTCGCTTTTAAGCTGCATGGTAAATACTAGATCCTCTATTTGGTTTAGCTCTTCTACCCTGCAGAGCCAGAGGCCTATGGTCGGTGGCTGCGGGCATTTCCAAGTAAAGGGAATGTATGATTTGGCAGTGTTGAGGAGATGGTGGATTATAGGTGTCTTATCAATGGAATGAAGGACAAAATAGGCTGGGTCTTCCGGGACCACATTGTCTGTGAATCCTCCGAACCTCTTTCTAGTAATGCTCAAGTTTGGGAGAGGACCAGAAGATGTGCAACAGTGTCTCCCATTCCGTCTGGCATTGCCAACAACAATAGTATTTGGAATGAATTTATGTAAAAGAGATGTATGATACTAAGTTGTCAGAATTTTAAAGTTGGTTTCCTGGATTCTCGTACAGATCTAGAATTTTTTGGGAAAAACGGATAATATTGTTCTGTTGTTCCAAAGTAAAAGTATGGTCCAGGTTTGATGCCCATTTTGTTATACAAGGCAGTTCTGTGGGGGTGCCACCAATAGAGCATATACTTTAGAAAGCACGTGGGGTAGAGCTCCTTGGTCGGAGCAGTGAGACGATGGTTAAAGTTTCGTGGAGATGGCAAGGAGTTTAAAAAGTGGTGTAACTGTAAGTACGGCCTTCCAAAAGTCTAAATGAAATGGACCTGTAGGACTCATGATTGAATGCAGGGATGGTCAAGTATTCACCATCAGGAAGTGAAAAGCCTGTAACCAACCAGAGGTTTGTAAGGGCTGAAAAGTTACATCATGGAGACCCGGGGAGAACAGCAGGTTGCCCAGGATAGGAATAATGGAGAGTCTATAGAAAAGAGGGAGGCATGAGCAAAAAGCTGAGAGCACATTCATGTCATAGGTCCTATTAAAGGATGTGCCTTCAGAGAGTATGGTAAGGTCTCAGAAAACCATGGAGCTCTATGTAATGGAACACAGCTTTGAGCCTGTTCGAGTTGTATCCAAAGCTTAGTCTCATTGACAACACCGGTCGATACATCTACCTAAATGAGTCATGTGATGGGAGTGACTTTTGGGTGTCGGGGGACCGCTGTATTATCTTCCCAAACCATTATGTTTAAGTGACCCTGTGCCTGTTAGGGTACAGGGTGTACATGTGAATGTCCCAGTCTTGTGTATAGTGTGTGTTCCTTTGTTCTCGGCCACATGGTTGCCCATTGTCTATTGCCATGTGGCTATTCCTTTGTTCTATTGTGTCTTGCTGGCCAGTAAACTATTATGGGATGTACTGTTTGTGTATTGGTGTGGGGGTTGGTCAATGTCCTTTGCCGCATGGCTGCATCCCATTGTTCTGTGTCTTGGTTGGATGGGGAGGGCTGATGAGGTGTTTCCTGTCCCTGGTTGTCTTTCCCCACCCTCTGTATAAAACATGTTGTTTGTGTAAAATAAAGTGGAGTTGGCTTCCTGTTTAAGAAGAGCTGGGTGCTGTCTATTTCCTGAGGGATTTCAAGGCTGTGGTCCGTGGATGGTGTTTGGACAGGGGAAGCTGTGGTATAACGGAAAAAAAAAAACTCAGTGCGGTCTGGGTTCCGGTTCCGTTACAAGTCACTTGATAATATTTATGCAAATCCGGGACAGCTAATCCAACAATATTGCTTCGGTAACATTAACTGGCGATGTTGAATTTGGGGACGTTTGTGGGCCCAAATGAAGGGAGTGAATAAAGAGTGACCTTGTTTAAAATAACGGGAGGGGATCGCTATAGGTAAAGCTTGAAAAAGGTATAGCAATTTCAGTAAGATGGTAATTTTTTATGATGTAGCATTGTCTGAGCCATGAATGTAGTCCTCAATGCCACATCTCCAGTAAGGTATGTGTTTTACTCATAAGTGGGGAATGTTAAGTTAGAAAACACAAGATAAATGGTTATAGACATATCTGCCAAGATATTCATCACACATCACTCCCATCACTTCTGACTTGTTAAAGTTGATCTTAAGGTTAGACAGTGCCCCATAAAAGTTGACTTCATGAAGGCGGTTAGGAGAAAACCTCAAGGGGTTGGTTAGAGAGATGAGCATATCGTCAGCGTACGCCGATACTTTATGCTGAGCTGCCCCAACATTAAGACCTGTGATGTCTGAATTTAAGCAAATCTTGCATAAGAAAGGTTCGAAGGTAGGAGCAAAAAGGAGGCGAGACAAGGGGCATCCCTGCCTTGTCCTATTAGTAATGGGCAAGGGAGTGGAGAAAGCCCTGTTGGCCTTCACTTGTGCCGTCGGTGTAGTGTATAGCTTGGATATCCAAGTAAGCATGGTATTTCCAAGACTGATATATTGAGTAGAATCGAGAACATAAATCACACATTAAATCTATTTTCTCTCAACAAGAGACACTTAAGAGGGGATATGATCTCAATATATAAATATCTAAATGGTGATTCTAGCATATGGAGATAGAACTGTTCAGTCTCGGGTTACTCAAGAGAACATGTGGTCACTCAATAAGTTGAACGAGAAGTGCTTTAACCTAAACTGGGTAAGGGGTACTTTACTGTTAGAATGGTAAGGATGTGGAACTCCCTGCCACAATCACTGGTGTCAGCGGGAAGTGTCGATGGTTTAGAAAACTTTTAGTTGGGTATCTTAACATAACCAATATGCAGGGATATGGGAAGTGTTAGAGACATAAATGCATACACATGCCCACACAGGTTGAACTGGATGGGCTGCTGTGTTTATTCAACCTTACCAACTATGTAATCAGACAAGACTTGCAACTCTGCAACAGGGACACAGACAGGAATACAAATCTAACAAGGTTTCCAGACGTTATATCCGGTATTCTGTTAAAGAGAAGTGTTTTTTTCTGTCTATGCTGTTTTTGGAGAGTAAGGGTTCATGTACACTGCAGTTGATAAACTCACGTTTAGGAGCTGTTCAGCATATTTTTCAGCAGCCCCTGAACTCTCCCTAATGTTTTCCTATGCGTCTTCGTTTACAGGAAGTTGAGTTTAGTCGTTTTTTTTTAACGCAACAAATTTGCGTTCAGACATCAATTTTATCAGCGTTTCAAATACAAAACGCGTTTATAAGTGTTTGAATTTTACTTTTTTTTTTAACTTTTCCAGTACCCAATGCTGTCCAGAGCCTTTTTTTCATCATGTGAAATGCATGCAAAGAGTTTTCAAGGTGCTCAGATGGACAAAACACTGAACACAGGATGTTCCTACCAAGCTTGTTACACATTGTAATGACCAAGTCACACCTCAGGCCTCTCCCACCCTTTGAAACAAAAGATATGTTAATGCCCATTCACACCTCAAATTCCTCATGAAGACCCCCTGCCAGGTGGCCTTAATGACTCCCTCCACCAGACATCTCTCCCACCCTTGGAAACAAAAGAAATGTTAATGAGCAACTCACACCTAAGCTAATCTCAACAGATTTCTGTCTCTGCTTCTACTCTCTGTATTTCTCTGAAACAGTCTGAAATAGTTAATAATTTACCATTTTCAGTGCATTCTGGGCATTTGGAGGTTCTCCTGTGCTTATCTTTAAAAAACGTTTCTAAATACAAACTCGCATAAACACGGTATGCAAACGTTTTAACCTACATTTTCCAGCGGTCAGTTTCCATCATTCAGAAACGTCCCGTGTACATGGGGCCTTACCTTCACTTCTTGCATGGATAAATGTAATCAGCAGGACAGGCAATGGGGGCCTGGATTGCAGCAAAAAGCTGATAGGGGTTCTACTTCTTCCTCTTTCCATCTGAAACTGGAAAAATGTGGCTGGATATACACTTTAATAAAAGAGCTCTTTCTCAACAAAGATATTTAAAGTGTGGAAATTTCCAACAATTGTCTTATAAAACTGTACAACTGCCTCGTCAGCATTACAGGGAAGCCTTGGGGCCATTATTATGGAGAATCTGCAAATTATGCATTATCCTGTACCGGAACTTTTACTATGTTATAAATACAATGGACATTTCACATAACACAAGCCATTTAGTCTTTTATTATTAAACTGTAATAATATCAGCTTAGAAAGCAGGTTTTGGAGTGGGGTAGAACATGGAAAATGTGAAGGCCCTTACCATGTGTCATATATATGAGTGCAAAAGTTGCATTACAGGCTCAGAACGCTAAAAACTAATGCTGCTGGGAAGAACAGTCTCTCGATGGTTTGCTGTAGCTCTCAGGTCTGAGGTCTGCTTAGCATCTGCAACTATTAAGGGGACATCCCACTCTCCTTGTTTGATTTCTAAATTTTTTACATGAACAATGCAACAGGAGGAGTTGAAA